GATGGACCGCGTGAACAAGTGACCCGACTCGGCGAGTCGGGGATGGACTCGGCGAGTCTGTACTGGAATGTGAAACCCTATTTTCAGGGTTTGCACCCTATTTAAAGAACAATATGCCTTCATTTCAGCCTCTACCTTCCCTGAGTGTTCCAGAGAAACCCTAAATCGTGAGAGACTCCATTGTTGAGAAGAGTGAAGCTTGGAGGAAGAAATTGGTGAAGAGAAGTTGGAGGAAGTTGAGGATAGCATCAAGAGAGCTTGTGAATCTGAAGTCTACATCAGTTTAGACTCATCTTTGGGGTAAGAAGTCACCTCCTTAAGCCTTTTTCCTTATTGTCATCCATGGTGGTTGGTTTGGGGATTCTTTAGCATAGTTTGGATCCATTTCGGGTTTAGAGGTTAGATCTGAAGTTGTAACTTCAGATCTAGGTTATATTGGAGCCATGAGGGCAGAAAGCATCAGTCTTGGAGCTTGACTGAGAGTGCCTTTGTCCCAAAATCCTCTTATAGCTTGGTTGGAGCTTGTTGAGCCTTGCATGCACGTAAAGTTGGAAACTTTACGTGTGAATCTGGCCCTAGGAGTCCAGATCTATGTATTGGAAGCAATGAAATGGCCTGAAATCGTCTGAATGAAGATGTCACGTTTGAACTCGGCGAGTCACATGAGTGCACTCGACGAGTAGTATGAATATGTGCATGAACTCGACGAGTTGAAGAACAACTCGGCGAGTCTGTTGAAGATTTCCTGGGACTCGGCGAGTCTATGCTTGGACTCGGCGAGTCTGGTCGTGGAACCCTAGCCTTTTCTGGTTGAGTTGTGAATCGGTGAGTCGGGGGATGACTCGGTGAGTTGAGCAAGAAGGGACTCGGAACTTGTTGGACTCGACGAGTCTTGGGGCGACTCGGCGAGTTGAGTCGTGGCATGGGAGTTTCTGAGCATAGGGACTCGACCAGTCAACAGGTTGACTCGGCGAGTAGGGTCAACCAGGAAGGTTGACTTTGACTGAGGACTTTGACTTGGACCAAGGGTTGACCAGTTTGACTTCCAAGGGTATTTTGGTAATTATTGGTATTTATGGAATTGATTCTTTGGTAGTGTTCGGTGGTGGAGTTCGTGTCGGTGATCGGAGCAGCTGATCTTATCCTTGCAGTAGGCAATTGCGAGGTGAGTTATCCTCACTATATCGACAGGATCTACGGCACCAAGGCCGACCCTTTATCGGATGGAAATCCGGGTAGTTGTTGTTATGTTATTGCTTTGCTATGTTTGCATCCTGGTAGTTAGGATGGTATGTGTTAGAGACCTGGTTAAGGTCGGTACCCGGGATATAGGGTAATGTTATGCTAGTGACCGGTTAGGTCGGAATCCTGGTTAGGATATTGATATGCTATGTGATCTGTTAGACTGTTTGTCTGGTTGAGGATTGTATATGATTATATGTTTATGTGCACATGGTTGTTGGACTGGGGTTGGGTTGAGGCGGGTCCTGCTTTGTGCTGTAGGCCAACATACCCAGGGCGGACCGGACATTCCGAAGGCCCAGCGAGCGGTCTGGATAGGCTGAAGGCCCCGAGAGGGCGGACCAGACGTGCCGAGGCTCGGAGAGTGGACCAGGCCGACTGAAGGCCCGGTGCGGGCGGACCAGTCATACTGTAGACTCAGAGAGTGGACCAGGTGGATTGAAGGCCCGGTGCGGGCGGACCAATCACACGGTGGACTCGATGTACACGGCTAGACTCGGAGGGTGGACCAGGTGGACTGAAGGCCCGGTGCGGGCGGACCAGTCACACAGTAGACCCGATGTGCGTGGCTGTTCTATTTGTGATATGTTATGAGTATGTTATGTGTGGTTGGTATTTTGGGGGTGACTCACTAAGCTTGCGGGCTTATAGTTGTAGTGTTATGTTTCAGGTACTTCAGGAGATCGTGGCAAGGCGAAGGCGTGATCGTACCGCTCCTCATGTTCTATGATTTATGAGATATGGTCCTGAGGGAAACTCTGATAATAAACTATTTTGAAAACGAGATGTATGAACTTAATGGTTTTGAAATGAATTAAAATGTTTTAATTTGGCTCAAATTTTTATGGGTGTTACAACCACTGTTTTTCTTACCATCATCATCTTTACCCTGACACAATCACGATCAGGAGAAACATATGCAAAAGAGAGAGAGCGAGAAATGGTGAAAAAACTTAGTAAAACTTTCTTCTTGCTTCGCCGCCAAATCTTGAACTAACAAGAAGCAAATGTTAAAGATTTCAATAGGATCTAGCTGACTATAGAAGGTTTCAATAACTCTTATGCTTAAAGAGTATCATACCATTAAATTTCTAACCAAAAAAAGGGATATATACACTAAAGTCCCAATGTTTTCAACGATTTGACAAGAAAGTCCTAAAGTTTATTTTTTTGACAGTAAAGTCCTAATTGACGATTTGACAAGAAAGTCCTAAACTTTATTTTTTTGACAAAAAAGTCCTAATTACCGGCTAACCGGAAAAGGGTAAAAGTGTCAAAAAACTGCTGGTAATTTGGACTTTACTGTAAAAAAAAATAAAGTTTAGGACTTTCTTGTCAAATCGATGAAAATATTAGGACTTTAGTGTATATATCCCTATGATCCATCAAGCGCTATAAAAATGAAAATCATAAAATCAGATGCCCTTTATGAAATACAAAAGAAAAATGCCAACCATTTTAATAAAATAACATGAGGAGACCAAAAATGAGTATGTAATGAACTTGGTTATTTAGGAATGAAAGAAACATAATATTCGTAAACCAAGAAAACACCAATCCTAAAAGGCCAATAAAGAATTACGAAAAACATGATTAATCAAGATCACATTACTATGTCAACCAAAAACATAATTAACAAAAAAAAGGTAGAAGAAATTAGTTGAGAAAAGTGAAGATATATATACGATGTTGTTCATCAATGGCTGCTTCGTTGGCAAATTTATCGGCGGCTTTTTTTAACCCAAGTCCCCTAAAGAAATCAAGAAGGTATCTTGTCAACCTGAAAAATAAAAATAAAATTAGACACTCACACATAACAACTAATTACATAAATTATAGATAGATACGCTTACAAAAATAAAATTCAAATAAATCACAACAAAATCTCTTCTTTAACATCATCAGTAATGTCCATTAAAACCGAAAAACTGCAAAAAGAAAAGAAAAAAAGATTAAGAATAAAGACTGGTTGCTAATATCACAAGTTGTGAGATTTAGAGTCAAATATAATTTTTAAACCATATATGGGAACAAGGGATAAATTATATTTAGAATTACGCCCCATATTAAAACTCGTATGATCCTTAACACATCCTGAGTCCTGTCATCTTTGAGATTACACCCTCCATTCTTAACGAGTTCCAATCTCAGGTTGTCTCTAATTCATACTAAATAGCTTTATTAAAAATCACATTACATATCTCCATTCCTAGACCCTAGTAATATCAATAGCAACAACCAACTCGGTTAACTCAAGAAAAACGGGATGCAATAACTATGTACAAATCCAAGAATTTAACATACATAAATCAATTATAAACAAATTCGATTTTTGGTCAATACATGGAACCAAAATCAACCAAACGATCACTATAATAATAATAATTCGTACGACATTTTACCTTAAATCTCACAGAGAATTTCAAAATTTCCTCTTCGGGTTTACCACTTACTGTTGTTTCTCTCTTGCCGTTTTCATTAAATTTATACAGTTTTTGGAATAATTTATGTGTGTCATTTTAATGGTGAAATAGCCAACCGAAATTTATGGCATGCATGACCCAATCATTACGGACGGTTGTTGTAGAACTTGGACAGTATCTCTTTTCTAATTTCTAATAAAATAAAAGAGTCTTTTCAGCCGTGTGCCCATCCTACAATATTTTATCTTTATTCAAATGTAAGGCAATAAACCGATGGCCACCTAATGCTATACCTAGAAGCTTCATTGATTGGTTTAAATATATTATTTTTTTAGTACCTTTTTTTAAAAAATATAAATTAAAAAATTGTCCAGTGTCCACACCTGTCTTCTCATGCAACTTCCAAACAGGGCGGATCCAAGGGGATCCCGGGGTAGCCCGGGATACCCTTCAAAATTTTTTTGGTAGTGTAATTTTTGTTTACGTATCCTTCAAAAAAAATTTCGGTATAGTGTATATATATACGCATCCCTCTGATTATAAACACAAACTAACAATTGGTCTAGTGGTTAAGATGTTGGCTTATTGAAGTAAAGGTCTCAGGATCAATTCTTGTTTCTTACATAACCTTTGTTTACTTTTGTTTTATTTTCTCAATTATTTTATCCCACATCGCTAAACACATGTAAACTCAACCATTTTTTTCTATTATATAAACCTATTATATTCATGATTTATTTGATATCTACTTTGAGTATACTTCAACTTTGTTTACTTTTGTTTTATTTTCTCAACTATTCTATCCCACATCGCTAAACACATGTAAACTCAACATTTTTTTCTATTATATAAACCTATTATATTCATGATTTATTTGATATCTACTTTGAGTATACTTCAACTTCATGTTTAGGTAACAAGAGTTGAGGTTAGCTTAGGATTCGTTTAAGATTTGGGTTTAAAACCGAAACTGAACCGGGGAAACCCAAGTACCTCGGAAAAAAAAAAATAAGTTACCCTAAAAACAATTTGGGATACCCCTTTACTTTGATCCTGGCTCCGCCACTGACTCCAAATACTCGCTTCGCTTTTATACGTGCGACAATGAATAAAATAATAATTTCAAACACCTACTTAAAGATGGTAAAGTATGTGAACATTTTAATATAGGCTTGATTTAATATATGTTCAATTTTAAAATGAAGTTAATTTGGTTATTAGCATTCTTCCTATAAATACTTAATATATTAAATCCTTACAAAAACATTTACTCGATGTTTTTAATCAAATAATTTACTAGGGTCGTAAAAAAAAGTACTAAAACTTGGACAACATCTCTTTTCTAATTTCTAATTTCTTCAATGTTACACTCGCTCTCATTCCTTCCTCCCCATTTTGACGATTTCTTTTGCCACCAGGTCTCCACCATCACCTACTTTGCTGCACCACACCATCCGACCACCACTACTGCATTTTCTTAGTTTAGTCACACACCCGTATGACGATATTTGAATCCCTATGGGGAATTCACTGGTTCTCCACTCTTGAGGTTGTCAATTGTTTAACCGCTCATTAATAGCAAAGTGTTGATTTCCTATTTTGTTTTCTACATAGCAATTAACGTTTTAGGATTTGTGGTTTTGCAGGGTTGGCATTGTTGAAGTTTTGGATGGAATTGGGAGGTTTTTGCTTGGCACTTTATCTCCTTCTCTTCACCTTACTCTTAAAATTTGAATCCGTTTCTCCCCCTTCTATCTTTGTTTTCCAAACGAAACCTAGCACCAAAGATCATTAATCTCCTTCTACTTCAAGAAGCAAGAAGCGACAGCGAACAAATAGGAAAAAAAAACACAACTTTTGCTTCTAACAGGCACCACCGACACGATTTAGCCAACCACCACGACCACTTTCCTCTCTGTAATCCGCCATTGTCCCACCGTTTAGAGGTTTGATATCACATTTTACATTAAAAAGTTTGATTCTTTTTCCCTTGATTTTTTGGTTCGGTCTAAAGTAAACTCTCTCTCTACTGTTTGATTATTTTCCTCTTGATTTTTTAGCTGCTAACGTGAGTGGTTTAACAATTTTTTCATAGTTTTCTTATTAGTTTTACTACAATAGGGGTGCACGTCAGTTGTTTGATGAAATGTCTGTTGGGGTCAAGGTATTTTCTTTTGTTTTATTTCTCATGTATTTTCTTTTGTGCACAACTTGGAATTTTTGGGTTTCTCGGGGTCAAATATTATCTCAAAGTTTCAAACTATTGGCTTATAGGTGGAGGCAAAGAAGCAAAGATACCTAACACAGAGTATCCACCGGTAAAAAAACTTACTCAAGCAATTTTGTACCTGACATCGGTTTCGTTTTATTTTTTTATTTTTGATGGATCTACATTTACTGTAATGTAACAGATGACAATATGTTGTATGTTGGGAATGTATTTATTTTTAAGTGAATGATAAAATTAATCACGTTTCTTTTATTTAAGTATTGTAGTTTTTCTATTTACATCAGGTAGGAAGAACTATAATTTTTTATTTTTATTTTTATTGAAATCTTAAATGATATGTATTTTATAGGAACTCATTAGATGTAAATATCAACTTATTTGGAGTCAAAATGGAGACGAAGTGGCTTGTGTGTCCATGGTTAGTCCACCAATATAGATGGTTTGTCCAGTTCGTGTAAAATTAACCAAGCTTTACATGTAAACTTTTTGATTTTTTTTTTTTTTTTTTTTTTCATTTTAACTGTTTGGTGAGTGGAATGAGCACCACCTTTCATCGGCAGAAAACTATGTGAGTCACATCTTGTACGGATTTAATATGTATTGTTATATATCATGTTCATATAACACCGCTAATAGTTCAACTTTCGTGTAAATGATGCTTGATCATGCTCATATAGAGTGTTAGTTTTGCAATATGTTGGCACTCTAAGAGAGCGGTTGGAGCAACTCACTGCAGAAATAACTTCTGAAGGATTACTAAGGTTCGAATCTAATTTCCACTTCTCTCTGTAGGCATTTTATATTGATATTTTGTAATTCTGGTATGAAACTTTGAAATCTCAAAAAGAAGATTGTTAGTTTTTTTTATGGTATGGAAGGGGTATAATGGTAAAAAATAAGAGTCGGAGCATTGGTTATGTACTCCAGTGAAAATAGGGGAATATTGTTTTCCCAATTCAATTTTGATAAAGTGATGTTATTTGTTCTGTTTTTCCACGTTAAGTTTTTTATGGAGGTTTTGATTACCCTTTTGTTTTGTTTCACCTGCTTCTAAGCTCGCAAATCTGAAAACTAGAACCACTAAATGTTTTAATTTTTATAATATAATTTTGAAATTGTTATGCAATGTTTGGCTTATTACTCTTCAGATAAATTTAAACGTTTTGCTGTAATGTGCTTGAATCTTAACTTTGATTATTTGGTTAACCCCTCGGTGTTTGCTTCATTCCTTAGGGTTTTTTTTAGTCACACCGTTTTGAGGTTTGATCTCACATTTTACATTAAAAAGATGATGTTATTCTTCAAAAAAAAATTAAATTAAATTAACCAGAGATGTAACCATTTATCAATTCTAGACTTAACGTGTGATCATTTGTAATCCTGAGTCACTTTTTTAATTTTGATTTTAATGATATGCCCACCGATACTATCCTCCAAATAATATTATTGTCTTTCCTTTTCTTCCAAAAATGCCCTTCATTTACTTTTTCCGGAGATGTGCTGAGGGTAATCATAAACAAACTGGGTTCTATAAAAACTCATTGGTAAAGAAACTCACATGTGTAAATAATTTTACTTTCACAGGATCAAACACATAAATAAAGCAATAAATTAAAAGTTGTTTATGATGTCTTATTTTTCACTTTGTATGCATTGCTGCATTCAGCATGAAACATGAAATAACATAACAGGGGAATCGTGTGGTTTACCCTTCTATTTATGAATGATTTTGAATAATAGATGGCCCATTATTTGAGGAATGTAAAATTATTGGATATGTAATCTCCTAATGTAGATACGAATTGTAATTATAATCTTTGTAATCTATGAATAATGACTATTAGTTACATAAGAACGAATATGTAGGATATATTGTGAATATTAGCACGGGTATAATAGTAATTTAACATTTTCGGATAAATGGATTGTCACACCCCCAAACCAGAACGGCAGAAACATTCGGGGGCGGAGGACGTCATGTACAATATCATAACAAATGAATAGTAAAGAAAGTACGAACAACCATCATATACATAATTGAAAAGTTTACATGACTGTAGTATTACATGTTTGCAAAAGTCAATTACATTATGATGTTCAAAAGATTAAACTAACGCCGGGGCGTAAGTCTTCAAAAGCAGTTGCTAACCTGGGTTAATGATTCCCTGAGAATACAAGTTATTTCAAAGAAAAAGTGTCAACATTTAAGTTGGTGAGTTCACAAGAAGTTCATTTGAGTAATTGTATACCATTTGAAAGTCCGCGTTTGATTTCAGAAAATCCGATATTTTCTTAAGAATGATGTTGTAAAAAACCATTGTTGTATAAAATGAATGTATTTGAACCAGGAAAATCCGATATTTTCCTATAAGTGAGATGCAGTCTTAATTAACCAAGACTGTAACCTGTAAGCAAATATGCCATGCTAAAAACTGACGATGTATAATTGCATATTTAAGTAAAACTAGTTAAGAAAGTGTTTATCCTGAATTCGGAACATGCCGATAATACCCTATTGCATAGTTATTACCCCCGAGCATGATTGAGTTAAAACGAAGGTATTCGATAGGAGTATTACTATGTTCATGAGTTATTGTTTCCGCGTTGTGAGTTTCTCATAACCATGCTAACTGGAGTACCGATGTTGACATTTGTTCACCCCGAGGACTGTAGCTAACAGTCAGGGCGCAGGGTCGTCAGCCCCGTATAGATCTATACACAAATTCACGCTCTCCCTCCAGGAGACTCTGGTTATAGATGGAGACTTTCGTTTGGTACAAACAAAGCCATATGACATCACATGATTGCTAACAACAAGTTCACGAGTAATACTATGAAAATCTTTTGTATGAAAGGTTTATCCTTGATACGATGAGTGTATACTTATAAATAAAACATATTTCTTATTTATAAAATGCATTGTAACCCAAGAGGGTAAAGAAGTGTTTGTAAAGTGTTTTTCATGATAACTACTTCATATAACAGTTAAAACTACAGTGTGAAAAGTATAGCAAAAGATTTACGTTTTCACCCGATAATAACCGTGTGTTTACTTGTATTCTCCCCCTAAAAGTGTCTTAAAAAGCATTTAAAAGTGTTGTGATAGGGGTATGAACTCACTTGGTTGAAGTGACGATTTGATGCAAATGAGGCTTTGATCGGGCAGCACTTCGACCGGGAAGAAGTCGATTTCTCGGAAATCTCAGGGCTTCGAACTTCCGTCGGGGTTTGGACACGTAACTGGGGCGTCGGGGTAGTCTCGGGATGCTAAACACAGAGTAAAAGTGGCAAGGAAGGTAGAATTGAACAGCCAAAATCCAAGACCTTCGGTTTCTATTTATAGAGTGTGAATTTAGGGTTTACGTCGTGGACCATGTGTTCACGTCGTGGCTTTGGTCCTGCCCAGGTCATGGCGTTCGTCATCAGCCACTTGTTCTGAATGGTGTCACTTCTCTGAGTTCACGTCGTGAACCCTATGTTCACGTCGTGAACTCTGACACATTGTCGATATTTGTGCCCCGATCTTCATAAATTCATAACTTTCGCATACAAGCTGCGTTTTCGACGTTCTTTATATCCACGCGTAGGTGAGACTGTACTCTACAACTTTATTTAGACTCTGTCGGCTAGTTTTGACTTTATTTTTAATAATATATTTTTAACAGGCCGGGACTGGAAAAGTCCGTTAAAAATCCATAACTTCTTCGTCCGACGACCTTTTTCGTCTGTCTTTTTACCGTTGTGATATTATTGTCGATATCTTCAACTCTCGTTTAGGTTGTGTTGGCTAAAAGTCGCTCGATCTCTATTTCGAGTTTTTAGCTGGCTAGTGCTATATCCGAAACTTAGGAAAATCGTAACTTCTCCATACGAAGTCAGATTTGGACGTTCTTTTTATGTATATTCGCGATTTAATGTTTTCTACGACTCTCATTTAGATACCTAAGACTAAAAAGTATTTTATTGGGATTTCGCGTTTTACACTTACAGTATTTTATCGGTTTTGTTGCGAAACTTCGATTGGTCATAACTTCCTCGTTATAACTCGGATTTTAGCGTACTTTATGTTTTTGAAAACATTGAAACGATATTTACCACTTAATACCATCCATTTAAGATTCCAGAACATTTTATTTTTGACGATATAAATCTATTATTACAAAATATAAGCTACAATACTTGACTTTAGGCCATTACGTTGGTTTGAAATATCGGGTTGTCACATGGATGTAGAATAGACACGTGACAAAATGACTTTTTATTATATTAGGGATTAACTTTAAATAATCAATATAAAATTCCAAATAAAACTTATATCTTATTAATTTAAATTGTTTTTTATAGATCTTTTATCCATGGTTTCCGCGGGTTGTAACCTAGTGAAGTTATAAAAAAATAACAAGCTCATGTTGTTGATATTTTTTTTGAAATAGTCTTGATGACTTTCTTGAATGAAGGTATTGTGTTTTTTTTTTTTGTTCTATTTTGTCAAATGCAGCTGGTTAGTTTAATGTCCATCGAATGTAATCTATTCTGGTATGTATTTTTTATTTAAGAGTTTTGCATTTTGGCCTGGGACTCGGCGAGTTGGTGGCCCAACTCGTCGAGTAGAAGCGGTTTAGACTAAGGGTTTAAATGGTGGACTCGTCGAGTCGGCGGTCAGACTTGGCAAGTAGACTCTGACTGGACAAAACCCTAATCTAAGGGTTTGCACCCTATTTAAACATCTCATTCAGCCACCCTTCGTCCCATTTGCTCCCAGAAGACCCCCCATAACAAACCCTAATCGTGTGAGTGAAGATCTAAGGCTTTTGAGTGATTTTGGTGCTTTTGTGATCTAAGAAAGGAAGGAAATGCTTGAAGAAACAAGAAGAGGCTAGAGGGATCCGAGTTTGAACATCTTCCACAGTCCATTTGAGGTATAAAGCTTATACCTTGCTCATTATTATCATAGATCTATTCTTGAAGGAAGTTAGGGCTTCTAAGAGCCATTTTGGCAACCAACCATGATTGCAAGAATGGTTGGGGGCTAGGGTTTCGGATCCAGGGTTCTTGAAGGACCCTAAGGCAGAAAGCAACTGTTTTAGAACCCATGGAAAGCCTCATGCATCTTGGGAGTCCCTTTTTGAGCCATTTGGGCTCATTCTTCCATGCATGCACGTAAAGTTTGTAACTTTACATGCTAGAACGATTTTAGGGACCTAGATCCACCTTTTGATCAGGGGTTGTACGCCAGAAATCGAAGAAATGGACTTGGATAGTATAGACTCGACGAGTCGTTCTTGGGACTTGGCGAGTTAGTGAGCTTTCGACCACCCCAAACCCTTCTGTAATGGTCAGTTGTTAGAAAAGGGAGTCCCATAGCTGTTTAGATGTGTTGGGAGAGCTGGAGTTCATGGCACTCGACGAGTGCTAGAACAGACTCGGCGAGTCCAAGGCAATCTCCCAATATTTGAAGATGAACTCGACGAGTTGTTCATACAACTCGGCGAGTCAAGGCAGGACTAGTTCATCTGATGAAGGTGAACTCGACGAGTTGTTCATACAACTCGGCGAGTCAAGGCAGGACTATTTCATCTGATGAAGGTGAACTCGACGAGTTGTTCATACAACTCGGCGAGTCAAGGCAGGACTAGTTCATCTGATGAAGGTGAACTCGACGAGTTGTTCATACAACTCGTCGAGTCGGATGAAGGACCATTCGTTGTTCGTATAGGAGAGAACTCGTCGAGTCATCGCCAAACTCGACGAGTAGAGGAGTAGATTGAGGACAGTTGAAAGGATAGGGACTCGACGAGTTGGCGGCCCAAATCGGCGAGTCAGGTCAACTGGAAGTTGACTTTGACTTCGGCTTTGACTTGGTCAGGGGTAAAATAGTCATCTTACCCTAAGAGTAGTTATCAGACTCTAATTGAGTGGGATTTATAGCCGGAGGATTTCCGGAGCAGCAGCAGCAGACAGAGAGTTCCCGCACAGATCAGCAGCTACTACTACGAGGTGAGTTACCTTCCAGTAGGGGTGGGTCTACGGCCATAATGCCGGCCCACCAACAGGGGTAATTGGTAGATGATTGTCTTTGTGATAATTATCTTGGTGTGGTTATGTGTTTTGGTCATGAGATATGCTTGTGCGATATGCTATGTGTGTAGAAGGGATTACTTGTCCCTGACATCGGTCGTTAGGATCGAAGGGCAGGTCAGTACCCAGTTATGTCTGACTGTATGATTATCTCTTGTTACTGTATGCTAGTGCTAGGGGTGAAATAGTCCCCAGTTACCGGTTGAAAGATACCGATGGCATGTACTGGTTGGAAGATACCGATGATGGTTACCGGTTGAAAGATACCGATGGCAGTTACCGGTTGAAAGATACCGATGATGTTATATGGTATGTGGTATGATGGGGGAACTCACTAAGCTTTGTGCTTACAGTTTCAGTTTTGGTTTCAGGTACTTCTTCGTCTAAGGGGAAAGAGCCGGCGGTGTAGCTGTGCATCACACACATGGTTTCCGCATCGGATTTTCTGGGATTGTACTCTGATTTTCATTGTTCCTGATGATATGGTTTTGAGACATGACTTTATGATTTTATAAAAGATGTAATATCGACAATGTTTTGGTAACATATTTTATGATTTACTTAATTCAAAAATGAAATTTTTGGCCTCAATTTTGGGATGTTACAATTCTAATAAACGAAGGTTTTTTTGCCCATGTCACACTCTCATTCAATATGCCAAATGTCATTTTGTTTTTATTTTAAATTAATTTCTTTTCCACATGACATTTTATGGGGTTTTCTATTTTAATAAATTTCACATAATACTTTAATGTAATAATTACAATAAAATGTAGTAATAAACGAATGACTTACCTTCTTATTTCAAAATTCCCAAATTAAAGTTCATTAGTTTATTTTGTTTATTTATTTAAATTTAAAAGATAAAAAAATCAATTTTAATAATTCATTATTTTTCTTATTTTCTTATAAATCTAAAATTATAAATATTTAGACATTTATATTTAATTTTTTTAATTAACCCATGTAACACATGGATCTTACACGTAGTTAGTATTAGAACAAAGTATAGTGGTGCCTTTATTTAGGATTAGTTTGGTGATGATATTTTTACGGTTACCTTTATATATCTCACTCAAATGTCATAGTTGTATTCATTTGTGCACCAACATGAATAGTGAACTGTCCATTTTTTGGCAGAAATGGTCCGTTGATTATAGGTTATATTGCATTTTGGGATTATTTTTGGTATACGGGTATTTTATGGAAAGTATGGTATTGTCTGTCCACGTGTTGGTCATCGTCGCCGGTCTCTCAGTATTTGATGTTTATTTGTTTTGATTCACGATCCTTCCACCACCTCCCAGATCGACTCTCCTCTCTTCTTCTACTCTTTGCTCCCTGCACCGCCAACCACTGCCTCATCCTTTATGTTTGACGGTTGTGTTGGATTAGTGTCTAAGTCCATAACTATAATTGGTATATACTTGACCCGACCCGGCATGGTCCATTTGGGTTGCATGACATCATGCATTTGGATAGACTCAAATGAGAGAAATAACACTTAAGGTTTATTAATATATTATAAGTTCTAATATATTAATAAGATTATTTAATTAGTATTGATCAAGAATTAATCTAGAATTAATTAAGTGATCAAAAGAAGACTAATTAAATATATGGGTTGATTGTGTAAATCATCCATACTTGTATGGTGGGCTAAGACTCCATGGATTACCAAGTTGGGCTAAAACCCATAGGATACTCCATGGTGTATTTGAACCCATGGATCCAAGGAAATGGAAAGCCATGACAATTAGGGTTTACCCTAATAGTGTCACACTATATAAACATATCATTCTTGTCAAAATCGGCCACTAAGTCTATGTGTGGAGGGCAAACCGATTTGATGAAGTGTGTACTTTCTCTCAAGTTATTCCAAGTGTTTATGATGTTGTGTGAACCATTTGAGGTGTCACATTTGGGGCACTAGGCTCTTGAGCTCCATGGAATCAAGCACCAAACAAGAGGTATGTAATTCTACTAGAATTTATATTATGTGTACTTTATATTATGCTAGTTAGAACAATACCTTGGAAAATTGATATTTGCATGTATAATAGAGAAAACATAGATCCAAGGTATTTAAGGTTGCATGTACACCATAGGAGTGTTAGAATGCTCAAAACCCAACAGTGGTATCAGAGCCTAGGCTTGTTTTCACTTATACTTGATGCAAACTGCTTAAAATCGAATTTTTTTTGCTGCTGGGACAGTGGACTCACCGAGTTCACTGATGGACTCGACGAGTCCAATACAAAATGCATCCAACTCGCCGAGTTGGTTCATGCACTCGACGAGTTGGACCCCCAAACAGCATATCTTCGAGTTTTGGTGCTGGAATTGGTCTAGAATCATTACCTTTGACTGTTTTGGACTTATAAAACCTATTTTTTAAGTGGTAATGATTATGCTAAACCAATTTCAATGCTATAATCAAAGTTTCAAGTTTTATGTGTTTATGTAATTCTTGAAAAATGTTGATTATGAATGTTCATGCTTCTGAGTTTTGGTAGATCATAGGAATTATGTGCAAATTGTTTGTTAGTATAATTCTTGATCTCAATGAAATTGTATGGAGTCCATAACTTGTCCTCAAATTATGGATTACCAAGAGTTTTATGTTTCCTTGATTTATGAGTTCGTTTAGATTAATGAAAAATTTGTGTTTTAGTTGTTTTCAATCCAAATTAATCTAGAGTTAGTTCATAAAATATGTTTTTGTAACTTGTCCTCAAGTTACATAAAACGTCACATTTATGAATCTTAAAAATCATAAAAGTGCCATAGGTTAAATAAAAATGAAGAGTCTTTTTTCATTTAATTATTTCATGACTCCATAACTTGTCTTCAAGTTATGGATGTTTAAGAGTCACTTCTTTAAAATTGTTATTAATGAATAAGAAGTTATATAAAAATGAAGAGTCTTCATTTTAATGAACCATTAAACTCATAAGTTATGAAATGAAAGGTTTTGAATAGTTTCAAAACTTGCCCTCAAGTTTTGGAATTTGTAAAGTCACACACACATTAATGCTTTAATTCCAAACTCTACAATTTTAAAAGTTAAAATTCAAACTTTATGGACTTCATTAAATTAATTAAAGTGTTAAATTAAAAGAGTTAATAATTCCATAAAGGCACGGTTTAAGTTTAATTAAATTAAGAGTATAGTTTAATTAATAGATTAAACCACCAAGTATTTTAAATGTTTAAAATACACCCTTATACTATTATTATAATTTTAATTATATAGATATGTATAAGATAAAGTCAATCTTACCATTGGTAGGCCTCATTCACGAAGCCGGTCTATAAGGGGGGTATAAGGTTACTGCCTATAAAATGGCAGTTTAATGGGTGTCCACTCTCACCCACCGCTTCCTTGACTGGTGGAGGGTCGTTAGCCGAACGGGTAGGAAATGACTATAATTCTCACTTCATTAAAAGTATAATGAAAAATACAAAGTAACTAAACACTTATAAATTCCCAATCTTAGTTACTTAGGAAAATGTGAAATAGGTGCTAACCCATGAAATTACACTTTGTACCTTACCAAGTCGATTAGTGGAGCGTGTGTGGTTAACCGGCATGCTAATAAGGACTAGTAAGAGTGGCAAAGGGTAACTTGACCTTATTATAGATCGGTGGAGCTGTGTGGCTAACCGGCACATCGATTAGGTGATAAAGTTAAGGGTACCAAGTCAATTTTCATGGTTATTCACACCATGTTTGTGATCCTCGGCATCCCAGTCACAAACTTGAGAGGGCACAATCGAGATTCAAACATGCCATTGAAAGTTCAATGTATCTCAAAAGATCTAGGAGTTTCAAATCCAATTAAAACTTAATTATATTTCGTTTTCATGGTGGAAATTGGTAAATCATCATTTACCTACCTTCAACTATTTTATAATTTTGGATTACGAGATCCCTCTTCCAGTTATAAATAGGTTGTTGGGTCCTAGCCTTAATATTTCATATTGGGTGTTATATTAAGGACTTTAAATCAACTAACTTGAATTTCTCCCTTATAGATGTCTAGTTTAGACAACTATGGTCTTCCCATATCTTTAGGAATAAGCTTCCTAATGAAGATGATATCCCAAAAGGCAATCAAGGTGAAAGACTAATCCCTTTATTGAGCACTAATGGGACTGGAAATCATACTTCATTTCCTCCACCTCCTCCAATAAATCTCCCTATCCCACAAGTTTCAAGACTTGATAAGTTCTAAGTCACTCAATCCATATTAGCAAACAAAGTCTATATGTGCTTAGGTCTTGGAGATTAAGTCACATATTGACAAGCCGGGAGAGTCGGGTGTCGAAGTCTCGAGGTAGCTGGCTGTTGACTTGGTTCTTCAGTCACTCCCTGATGACAGATCACGACATGACCCTTTTAATGATCTTATCTATTTGCTTGGTGCTATTGAATCAGCAATGATTTGGAACACTGGTAAAGCAAATTCGATTAGAAGATCGACTTCCCATAACTTCATGGACATTGACAATGGTAACACTGGAAATCCAGAAAAACTTTCTCTTCCCAAAGGAAAGGGATCGGCTATAGTCAACTCGGTTGACCAAATGGTAAAGAGAAAGGCTAAGTCTGAGATAGTCCCATGTACCATTACCAAAGAGTCCATATGTGCCTATTGCCAAAGGAAAGGGGCATTGGTTGCGAAGCTGCCAAATTTACCTGAAACCTCATAAGGATGGTAAAGTCAAAAGTTTGACTCTACTTCAGGTAAAGTCCGTTATCTAACTCTATTAAGTCTCTTTTGGAGATTCTTAATACATGATGTAATGTAATTACATTTTGATGTTTTGAAGAATCAAAAGAAGCTTAAAGAAAAAGTGTGCTGATTCGGATCGTATGGTTCGATGACCAGAATTTTAAGCCACTGCATAAGAGTTATGAGATATTGCTTAGGAATAGATAACAACAAAGTTTTCATATGAATTTGCATTGTAAGGATAAGTTTTTCCGCAAGTTTTAAAATAAAAGAAAAGTTTTGATTTTATTTATTTTAAGTATCCTTACAAAGGTATTTGTGAAAAATTGTTATTTATATGTTTCCATTGATAAGTAATATTGGAAAATGAATTTGATTCTTTCGTTTGTGGTAGTGTCATAATTTGTCAAATAAGGAAAGATTCTCATCACCCAAGTTTCAGTTGGATAGAAACTTGGAATCATGCAAGTTGTATTGTGTGATGAATGAGATTTTTCATCTTTGGTAAATTAAGACTAATTCCTTGTTCACATTCACATGTGAGTCAAGCGAAGGACTAAAGGATCGGGTACATCAGGTTGTGCACTAGTCAGGTCCACCACAAAGGGTGATAAGATTATTCGTTATGATTTACTAAAAAGTTTAGTA